AATGCATTAATCCTCATAGCAGTTTTTACTAGCAGCGGGCTAGGTAAACAATTTGTTGTATTCGTAGAGGTTGTATCTGTAGAGGATGATACGTCTGAATTTGGATTTTCTAATAATTTCATCATATGCCGTACTACTTTTTCTTTTTGATTTTCATTTTCAGAATATGAAAGATTTGACAGCCACTTCAAAAATAATTTTAAGACTTGATTAGTATCATCTTTATGCAATTCATTATTAACACATGTTCGAGATTTTTTTCCATCACATTTATGAATATGTCCACCATTGCTTTCGAAGCACTTTGTACAGACATAACGAACGTGATGACTGTTAGAAATTTTTAAAGAGATATTTGCAATTTTTTGAAGAGCGGGACATGATTTTAAACCAGCACATGGTACTTGAATATTTCTTCCACATATATTCCAACCATGTTCTCCACAGTCATCACCTCTACTAAAAAAGTTTTTATATTTATTACAGAACAAACATTTTTTTGGTTTAACTACACTCTGACTGATATCTCTAAATTGTTTGGCATGAGACGAGTGAAGTTTACTATGATCGAAATTGAAATGACTAGAGCAAACACCTAAGGTATTTGTATTAGAATTTTCTTCCGGTGTCATTTCTATTTTCCAAGTTCCAATTCTGCTTCATCACTAATTCTATTTTCTTTAAGCTTAGCCTATTTAAATGTAAATTATTCATTACTATCTGCGGTTTATAATTGTATTTATTTATGTTTCTAAAATACACCATACAATAAATTCTGCTTTTTTCATTGAGGATTTACTTGTTTTGATTTCCATGTAGAATTCCAAAGTGCTTTCTAGATCTTTTAGCTTATTAAAAATTAAAATTACTTCCGTTATATTTTGAAGTTTGACTTTTAATAAACATAAAATTCTTGATGAATACACACTTTCTGATGCCTTAATTTCGCAGCTTGTTCTTTTAAACGACGTGCTTGCTCCTGCCTTCTTTCTTCTGCCCTAGCTAATTCTTCCTCACTCTTTTCGTTAGCCTTTGGAAAAAAAAAAATTATATAACATATATAATAAAATAATTCATAAATAACAAAGTATGCTTGTTTACCGGTGGTACGTAAGGAAATTGAATGATTCGATCCTTTTCTGCAAATTTATTCGGATCCGTATACTCTTTTAATTCGGAAAAATAATCTTTGGCAACATACGTATGATTATGTACAAGGTGCTGATAACATATAAATATGTATATAATTATATATAAACAAATATAACTTTTTCAAACAACAAAACAAAAAAAAAAAAAAATTTACTAACTTGTGCTTGGTTAACAGTCATTTTTGTTGGAAATGTTGGATATTTTAATTGCATTAACTTTAACATGTAATCCGTTGATGTCAATCCACCATATGATATCCTTTAAGAAATTACTCATAACGTTATTAAGAAAAGTGAAACATAAATTCAGATTCGGATTTAATAACATAGTTTATCAAATTGCACAATTACCTTTTAGTCTGTCCTAACACGCTACGACCAAATACTGGTATAACATGGGTCGTAGTATGACCGGATGATATCACAATTCCACCTTCATCGGAAGATAATCCATTACAATGAAAGCTAAAAAGCGCGTCAATACCATAACACACCGATGGTACACGATAACATTCAAATAACAGCTCTGACATCACTATTATCAAAAAGATAAGCCTCGTAAATTTATTTAATAACGTTATACAAAAGATAGAATAGGTTTATGGAACTCTGATTACGTTTTCGCGAATGACTTGGATTGCAGACAGGTTCAGTCATCAATATTGGGTGATTTACTCTATCGGTATTGATTCCAAGTTTGATAAAGATGTAATCTAAAACAGATTCCTTTCAAGTTTAAGATGGTTATAATTACATAAATTCAATAAATAAAAATTTTTGATTTAAATAATAATTATCCCAATTTCTTACCATCGTTTCAAAATTATAAACCACATTTCCATCAAATGCTGATTTTGCATTCGTTTTTGCCGTAGCGTCCGTATAAACATCATTGCCGACCAACAAAACGCTTTGATTCAATTTACGATCTTTATACTTAGAAACCAAATTATCAAATTGTACTGAAAATCAAAAATAATCTTAAAATGAATTTAATGAAAATTTTAACTTTTCGATCTGATTATAATTTTAATCTTTGTACTTACATCTTGGTGAATTGTCAGTAGCCCACCCAACACGACACTGATATGATCCTTTAGCAATTAAATGGATAATGAATTTGCCCATTAGCCATTCGCATTAATGCTAATTTTTTATATTAAAAAAGAAACCGATAGTGACAACTGTAAGTTTTCACTATCAAAAATAACAATCTTATGATTTTCTTTAATATAAAACCATCGATATATTGCACTACGTGCTAATTTGCTATACAACTCTAAAATGCATTTGGCTAGCTTCCTTTGTCATTTGCAAGTTTTTTTTAATCAAACGTACCGTTATCAATAACTAGTGGCGTTCCCTTATTTAAGAAATTGGTTTCATAATCGTTTGAAGCAAAATTTGCTGTGTAATTACGCCTTTCAGCAATATTATAGATCCTCGGTTGGAACGAAGTTTCCAAAATCATTTTTTTAAGCAAAAATTAAAAACTGAAAAATTGGGAAGAAGACTCACGAACCCAGCTTTTAGTACATACTAAGTACGTACAATTCCACACGCCGGGTAATTCGGGTAATTCTCTGATTCCCTAAATCTTGTCCGAAATTCCAGATCCGGATCTGCATTATTACAGTACTATAAAAGATCAAAAAAAAATTTTTTTGATCTTCCTCTCTTTTCGTGGCCTTCCTTATTCGAGCAACATGTCTGAGCAAGTTAGTCAGTTTTTTTTTATTATTTACGTGTAAAAAGTACTTTGTTCTTTATTTAGTAAGAAAGTAAATTGAAAATTACGTCAAAATTATATAGGTCGAAAAGGCTTATCAGAAGCAAATTGGTATCTTTCAAAATCCAAAAGCTAGCAGAAAGGTCAAAGCCAAAGATCTCCGCTGGTATAAGGATGTAGGTCTAGGGTTTAAGACGCCTAAGGAGGCTATTGAAGGCCACTATATAGATAAAAAATGTCCCTGGACTGGTATGGTGTCTATTCGAGGTCGTATATTGACTGGCGTAGTAGTTTCTGTCAAAATGAAAAGAACAATTATTGTTCGCCGTGAATATTTGCACTATGTTACAAAATACAATCGTTACGAAAAACGTCACAAAAATCTTGCTGCACATTTATCTCCCGCCTTTGTTGGTGTCTCAGTAAGTAAATTCTTGAAACATATCTTTTACATACCTTTTACATACCATGATTCATATTAACTAATTTTTTTTTTCTAATTCAGGCAGGCGATATTGTTACTGTGGGACAATGCCGGTAATGAGCTTATTATTAATTTTATATTTCAATAATATATTATAATTATATCGATTAATTGAGCCGATTAACACCACTAGCCCTCTCTCCAAGACTGTTCGCTTCAATGTTCTTAAGGTTCAAAAGAGAATTCAAAAGGGACCAAAACAATTCGCCAAGTATGTAAAAAATCTAAACATTCTTAAATACTTTCATCTCATATTGTTAAATCATATATTTGTATATTGCTGTAATAGGTTCTAAACATGTATTCAATGAAATAAACTTGCCTTTTTTTTTGAATTACGACGTTATTACATGGCTTGGGTTTGGGAATTGGGTTTCTACCTCATTTGAGATAATAATCAAACCCAAATATATGTCTTATTTTGATCAATAGTATCAAATCAGAAACCAATCAAAATTGTTAAATCAATGCTATAAATTATTAAAACTTCTTATTTGTTTTCAAATTAAGAAAACATATTCGATGTAACTATCACTCTTAGCATTTTAGTTGACCTAGTTTTCACCTGGGTGGCTCATGGCCCACTCGTCGGGTGACCCAAGTGAAATTTTTTAGACGGGTTAAAACACTATTTAGGTTCTAATACACACTAAGTGAAAAATAATTATAAAAGTGAAAACTTTTCACATCAAAATAAAACTTCGAATCCTGGAGTCGTAAATAAATGATTCTTCGACAATGTTTCCGAATGCCTAATATAAAGTAAAAACTTTAGTAAAAAATCTATATCTTATCCATCATCTTCTATTGTTGAATAACCCATAGTTAATTAAGAAATGAATTACCTGTAACCAGTGTTGTGTCTTGGACCTTATTTAGATTATTCCAATTAGTCCAGATAATATATGCCATCAATTTATTAAATATTTTTATAAAAATTTTGAATGAATACTACATATCTCAATGCTAGTACCCTAGGTTTTGCCTGACCCAGAGACAAGATTTTTTCCGAGAGTTGAAAATGAGCTTTAAAGAAGCACTGCATCAGAAAGTTGTACTAGCAGCACTAAATAAGTACTGTATATATTTAAATTAGTATTTTGGGAAGTCAATAGAAAGAGACAAATCATTTTTAGTAAGTTTTTTAAAATTTTAAATTAAAATATCACAACTACCAAATCAAATTTATTAAATTTAGTTGTTGAGATACTGTATTTTAACTTTGAGTTGAAAAAACTTTTACTTAAAAAAAATTTGTCCCTTTTTTATGACTTCTCATTTTTTTTAAAATTCTTAATTTTAATTGCTTATAAAGTATTAAATTTTATACCTATTAAGTAAAGGATCTCTTGCAATATAGGTGATACCTATTCTAAATCAATTGATTAATTATACTTTTTATTAATAGTTTCACCT